GTAAGTATGTATACTTGTGAAGGTCAGGTCACAGTTAACAAGGTGTCTGTGCTATCTTGCAGGTCGTGGTTAAGAGGCCACTTGCATTATCTTGCTAATACTTGATTCTTGGAGAAAGGTTGCAGAGTCATAGCTCCTCAGCTGCAGTGTTTCCTTGCTATAGAGACCTCACAAACTCATCAGTCAGTGAGACTTCAATTGTGACCGTTGGCACAGGAAAGTCTCTCTCTGTACACCAGCTGAAAGGTCAATCAGCAATTCACACTTCGACTTTGGAGTGATTCACAATCTTAGTCAATAGCTGAATTCATAAGTCAAACCAATAATATCTAAAGCAGACTCGGTACAGTTTCAAACTGGTCAGGAGTTCCCAAAAGAGATACTTAACCTGTTTTCAATATTTCAGAGACACTTTCCCCAAGATGAGGCTGTACCCATCAGCCAACTTTTTTTTACTTAGGCCTAAGTTCAATTAATTATATTACCTATTCTATGATTTGCTTAATTGAAATAGGAAAAGAAATAATTACTTGAATAAATAAAGTTTGTAAATGACCTGACTCTATTACCACACAGCTGCTGGTACAGGAGATTTCCAAAAAGATTCTATTTTTCAGCTGGTGAGACACAGACCTCCGAGGCAGGGGCTGAATAGGGCTAACATGATGCATGTGTATCCTCTTCTCATGGAGCCCGTAGTCGAAAAGAGGGAACCAGGGCTGGGGATTTAGCTCAGTGGTTCCCCCCACCTGCCTTGCAAGCAGAAGGTCTGGACCTCGATCCCTGGTACCAAAAGAGGGAACCAGCACTTGAGGTCACATCGCCTAGGGCGTGCTGTAAGAGGGGAGCCCACGGCAGGGTGGGAACACACAGGAGGAAATGATGGCCTACTGAGACAAAGGCCTCTAAAATAAGACTGGATGGGAAGGCAGGGAAACGAAGGGGGCTGGATGCTACACAGGGACTTTAAAGTTAGGACTAGAAGCCAGAGAGAGTTTACCATGGTTGGAGATAGAAAGGGCAGGATCACAAGGAGACTTGAAGACTAGGATAGGATTATGGGTTTATTCTAGCAGCAGTGAAAGTTTTAAGCATGCATGATTTGCTTTATACTTGAGAAATATCACTCAGGTTGCTTTTGTGAAAATGGACTGAAAGGAACAAGGCCAGAGGGCAAGTCTGGGAGCAGTAGGGCAGGCTGATAAGAACACTGCCTAAGGGCCACAACTGATAGAACTTAGTTTCTAAACTAATGATTATGTACTAGGGAGCCTTCAGCAGGTAGATTCTCATATTGAGGAAGGAGCTGTGAACAATGTGAAATACAACCAAGAATTTAACAAATAGAAGAAACAAAAACTTCAAAATGCCCAGTGTCCAGTACAGCAGAAACACCAGGAAGGCTGAGGACAGCAGGTTTAATGGAAGGGGCAGAGGAGTCAGACCCCTGAAACGGACAAATGACCAGGAAGTAAGAACAAGCAGGAATGCATCCAACCCCTTTTAAGAAATGCTGCTGTGGCCGGGAGTGGTGGCACACGCCTGTAATCCCAGCACTCGGGAGGCTGAGGCAGGAGGATTGCTGTGAGTTTGAGACCAGCCTGAGCTACATGGTGAATTCCAGGTTAGTCTCAACTACATAGTGAGACCCTGTCTCAAAAAAAAAAAGAAGAAAAAAATGCGGCTGTGGAGGGAAAAGAGACACGAGAAGAATCTAGATATGGAGTATATGTTGTTGTTGTTGCTTTTATTCATTTAATGATAGAGGAAAATTAGTTACATGCTAATGAGGAAAAGCCAGCAGAAGAGAACAGATTGGAAACAAAAGAGATATTCTATTAAGGGAGGCTCCAAAATGTGTGTGTATTGGGGTGGGAGGATAAAGACCCCTGTAAAGAGGGAGAGACTGTCTTTAAATAACAGAGAGACCCCTCTTCCATTAAACAGGATAGTGGGAGAAAATATTAGTTTTTAGGTTCATATTTAGAGGGAGTTATTATCTACTGGTTTCTTTTCTTTTAAATTAGGAAATTTTGTGATCTGCTGAAAATGAGGAAGAACTCTGTAGGGTCTAAACTTGGAGGAAGGTAGAGAAGACTTAAAAACAGAAGGAGAGATAACTCATGAGTGGACATGAAAGGATTGCTAGGCAGGTTGACATTGGACATCATAACACTGTGGTCCTACCAACCTGTCCTGTTTTTTTTGTTGTTGTTTTGTTTTTGTTTTTGTTTTTGTTTTGTTTTTGTTTTTTTGAGGCAGGGTCTCGTTGTATAGTTGAGACTGACCTGGAACTCACTATGTAGCCCAGGCTGGTCTCGAACTCACAGCGATCCTCCTGCCTCAGCCTCCTGAGTGCTGGGATTACAGGCGTGCGCCACCACGCCTGGCCTCTTGTCCTGTTTTTCATATCTATCTCTTTATCTTCCTGGAACCTTTGTGCATCAGCAGCCTTCCCAGGTTTTGGAAAAAGGAAGGCATGGAAACATCCACAATGAATCAGAACAAACAGGCCCTGCTGGAAAGGTCAAGGGTGACCGCTTTCACCCGAATTTCCTCTCCTCTCCTTACCATATGCACATCTATCTAGGCAGTGGACAGAAGACACTGCATCTAAGTCAAGAGACAACATTGGTCTATGCCTTACTTGTTTTTTGTGTTACTGAGGCAAAATATCCAACACCTAAAGTTAAGGGAGGAAGGGTTTATTTTGTCTCATAGTTTGTAGAGGTTTCAGTCCATAATCAGCCGGCTCCAAGGAAGAGTGGCATGGCAGATGGGGGGTCAAAAAGCAGGCATAAGAAAGCAGAAGACAAGCAGCAAACAGCAAGTGACAACAGCAGCCTTCTGTCTGTCTCATATTTTATCTAGGCTATAGGTGGGCAGCGTTCACAACCTTAATCCTAGCATTGAACCATGAATCAATTCCAGCATCACATCCTTGGTCTCAGCATCACACACCCTAAATCCAGCCACTTTTGAAAAGGCCCACCTATGACATCATGAAGTTTTGGGGGAACACCTAGATACAAGCCATAAGACTCCACACTGACCTCCCAAAGACTCATGTGCATCTCTTATGTAAAAGGCATTTAGTCCAGCTCTAAGAGTTGCCAAAGTCCTAACAGTTTCAGAATTGCTGAAAAGCCCAAATCCAAAAACTCCTTTGAGATTTAAGGCAAAAATCTTAGCTGTGAGCCCCTGTGCAGATGAAAGGAAATTTAAATAGCTCCAACATACAATGGCTCGAGATAGACACTTCCATTCCAAAAAGCACAAAGAAGGGAATAAGGAAGGAAAGGGAACAAAGCAAGACCAAAATTCAACAGGGCAAACACTAAATCGTGTAGTTCCATGTCTAAAATAACACTGCAGGGCCGGGGATTTAGCTCAGTGGTTCCACTGCCTGCTTCGCAGGTGTAAGGTTCTGAGTTCAATCCCCGGTACTGAAAAATAAAATATAAATAAATAAATAAAATACACAGCATTCTGTGGCAAGTTGTGAACTCCAAAGTTCTTCAGTGGCTCTGCCCCTACAGCATTGCCCATGGTCGTAGCTCTTATGACTTCTCTTTTGGGCCATCTCTGCTTGTTCCTTGCAGTCTTCCTCACACAATCAATGTTCCTGGCTTCTCCAAACTTCTTGGGTCTCCACAGTACCTTTGGCTTCACACTCCCAGCTTCACACACTGCCCTCTCTGGAGCACACTGCCTGGCCTCTCAGACCTTCTGTAATCGGGGTGGGAGCCTTCCCAAACCCACAGCTCTTGCATTTAGCATGCACTTAAAACCAGCACCGTATGAGTGATACCAAGGTCTGCTGCCAGCTAGAGCACAAGCCAGGCGTCCTTCTTTCTTGGCTGTGGAGGCTGAGTGCCTATGAACCAAATCCCAAGGAGCAACTTCCCCAGGCTGCTGCCACTCTGGAACATAACGCTCTGGGGCTCTCTTCTCAAGGCAAAGTCTTTCATTTTTGCAATTTAGAGGCTACAAAGGGTGGAGTCCTGCCAGTTCTCGTGATGTCCTCATACCACCTTTGTATTGTCCTCTTCTGAAACACTTGGCTTTTTCTCACTAGTCTTTTCAGAGATCAATTTCTCCTCTGTCCCATCTTTGCAGGACACAACTTTACAGAGCTTCCTTTCTGGCCAAACTCAAAAAAATGCTTTAAATCTTTCTGCTCAGCTCTTTGCTTTTGATTCTCAACATAAATGTGGATACAAGGCCCCCACAGTAAACATGCCACAGCCTCAACATTAGACTGTTTTGAAATTTCTTTTGCAAGATTAATCAGTCTGCTGCCCTTAATCTCAGTCTAGCCAAAGTCTCTGCACAAGAGCAAAACGCAGACAAATTTTCTGCCAAGGCATAGCGCACATTGTCTGGAGTCCAACAGCCAATACTGCCCTTCCCAGCAAAAACCTCCTGAACCTGGTCTTTACTGACAGCATTTCTATCAGGATTCTGATTTCCTGAGCTCTGACTAGAATCTCCCATCAATTACAGCTTAAACTTTTTACCCACATTCCTCTACTCAGAGTATTTTCCTGTTGATCAATCAATCCAGCAATGTTTACTGCACATCTTTGTATTGCACATAGATGACACTGCATAGGGTTACATAGGCAAATAAGACACATACCCTGCCCTCAAACAATAGCTATTCCAGATTGGAACTGAGTTATGTAAGCAGAGAACAGCCTACTCTAGATGTTATTAACGAGCACAAATAATATGCCACTGGAGCACAGAAAACAGTGCAACTAAAAATAAGTTTTGCGCCAAGGACTTAGCTCAATGGTAGAGCATTTACCTAGCCTGCATGAGTCCCTGCATTCAATTCCTACCACCACAACAAAATATAAATGCAATAAAAATAAGAAACGTGTGATATCCTCAAGCTACCTGAACATTTCTACATAAAATAAATATCTGTAAATAAAATAACTTTAAAAAAATTTGGACAAAGCCAACATCTTTTGTGTTGTTTTTTTTATAAGATATTTAAAGATCATGCAATTGATGGAGAAATTTTGCCATTACTCACAGAGGAGCATCTTCGAGGCACCATGGGATTGAAGCTGGGGCCAGGACTAAAAATTCAATCTCAGGTATGGTGATTTCACGCAACTATGTACTTATGGTAGAACCTATGGGGAAATACGGTAGAAGCTTGGAGAAATAGCAGTCTTCTTAAAACACAAAATAAATCATGTCACGCTTCCACTCAAAACCCTGCATAGTCCCCCATTTCCTTCAGAGTCAAAGCCCTGTGTCACTGCCTTCCTCCCAGCCCACTGCCAACTTCACTCACCTGGCCTCGCCTTCCGCCTTCTCTCCTTCCCACCTCTGCTCTTGTTCACTTCCCCAGGTTGCTCCTTGAGTGCCAGGGCATGCTTCATGCTGGGTCCTTCCCACTGACTGTTTCCTTTCCCCAGGATGCTCTTCCCCGGAAGTCTTCACTCTTTGGCCCTTGTCTTCATCCTTGCTCTGGACACCTTCTCCCTGAGGCTTCTCTGATCAGTCTACCGAAAACTGTACACTGGCCAGACACACCCCTGAGATCCCTCTTCCTGCTCTCCCTTTCCCCTCCTAGCACCCATCCTCTTCAGTCATAAATGTAACCCTTACTCATTTGTTATGTTCATTGTTTATGGTTGATTTCCCTTTACCCCATTAGAACGCTCTTGAGAAAAGGGCTTGTTATGTTTTGTAGATTGATGGCTCCTTTGAACATGCAAGATCCATAATAGGTCAATAATTATTTTTTGAAAAAAAAAGCTTTCCTAAAAGTGAAATTAAAAAGCAGAAATTAAAAATTTGTCCCAGGATTTATATAGAACTGTATTTATTTATAATATATGTTTATGCCAGGAGCTGAGGTTTAAGAATGTCCTTCAAAATTCATTTTTTAATTTGTCTAAAAATTTTAAGGTAGAGAAATTCCTTCTTTCTAAAGTAAGTGCTTTAATGTTCCCTTTTGTTAACTTTTTATTTTGGAATAATTTTAGACACAGTGAAATTTCAAAGATAATGCAGAGAGTTCATCCAGCTTTCCCCAAAGTTAACATTCCACATAACATGGCACACTGATCGAAATTTAGAAATTAACATTGGTAAAATGTTTTTTAAATGATTTCTTTTCCTTTAGTTGAGAAAACTATATATCTTGGCATACTTACAATGACACTTCGTGAGATTTCTTTTCAAATGGAGTTGGCTTCGATTTATCGCTCATTTTGGGACTCCCGTCTGACAGCACACACACTTCCCAAGCCCTGCCTAGCTGCTGTATCCCAGGTGCCATTTACCAGCCTGACAGGGTAGGCCTCCCACGGAAACTGTGAGAAAGGCTCAGTTAACGCCAGACATCAATCCAACAGGGTAGTCATAGGGTCCTGGAGATGGGGAATTGAAGCTGCAGATTTGGAAGCCTCTGAGTAGCATCTGGAATTCTAGGTGAACAGGAATGAAGAGTTCATCACTGGTTAAGACAACAACATCTCAACCTCCAAAATGGAAACTGAGGGGAAAATCTCTGCGGAACTAAGTCTATCCCCTGAACACAAACTCAGAAGGTAGATGGGCATGGGGCATAAAAGAAAAGGGGTAGGAGAAAGAAAAAATGTACTGGGATTTAGGAACTCCAATATATTAACAGAATAGAAGCAACTTGCAATTTGAGCTGTGACAACAAGGCCTGGGTTCCATCCACGGTCAGCTTTGTAGCAAAGGCAACGGAAGCCCTGTGTAGGATCCCAAAGCAGTCTGGCTTCTATCTCCCTGCAGGGAGATCTGCAGGGTGAGAAAGTTACCGAAAGAATTCCAGCCTCGGTCAGGAGAAGGACTGGTTGGCTGCTAATGGAGGTGCTGGGATGTCTGTGGGATCTCTTGTGGGACCTCAACAGCAGGGCCAGATGGGGTAAACTTAAAGGGAAATCACTAAGTCCAAGTGAACTATGGCAAACCAGGCAGGGAAATTAGAAGTCAGAGCCACCCTGATACCCAGTTTTAAAGCTGTAAATCCCATCTGATTCTGAGAAAAACAAAAGCCCACCACATACTAGAATTGTGACCCCCCAACAACTCTGTGCTTCATGCTGACAATTATGTCAGCCTTTGTATCGTTTGTGGCTAAACTAGGTTATTGAAAGAATTCACAGACTTAATTACTATAATTATTTTGTCTTCAAAGGTGTCTCAGCATGTGAGAAGTGTGCTCTACAAGAAAATTCTTTCACTTCCTACTCATACAAGACAAGCATTGGATCAACCAGCAGATACATTCCCTCTTTGGGGTTTTAATTCATGGAGTAATACATTGAGCATCCCTTGTTCTCGGGATTAATAATTGCTAAAACAACTGAGCAAGATAGTATGTGAAATTGAACCAAAAACAGTCTTCTCCAGTTCTCAAAAACAACAACAACAAAAACTAGGAATATTAGCAAGGGCATGTGAGAGGACAGAATGGAGGTGAGAGAAATCCGGCCCTCTTAGGGCTGTTAAAGGTCCAAACACCCAGCTTCCTGCCAGGGCTGCAGTGACCCTAGCACCAAGAGGCTGCAGAATTGTCGCTGGAGGGAGAGAATCTGCAAACATCAAGAAAGCCTCAGTTTGATGTGCCTGTGAGGAAGCCTCTGAAGAAACCAAAAGAGCTGAAACTGACAAAAAAAAAAAAAAAAGTTCCTTATTTCACTTGTTTCCCACCCCCCTACTCCTGACAGAGACAAAGGCTGGGGTCCATAGAAAGCAGAAGAGAAGGGGAGAAGGACACAGTAGAGATAGAAGAGCTGACCCCAGGACTGCACTGTTCCTCCTCACACTCGCCTCCAGCTTGAAGCTGGCCAATTCAGTTGAAAACCAAAAGAGCTTAAACTGAAAAAAAAAAAAAAAAAAGTTCCTTATTTCACTTGTTTCCCACCCCCCTACTCCTGACAGAGACAAAGGCTGGGGTCCATAGAAAGCAGAAGAGAAGGGGAGAAGGACACAGTAGAGATAGAAGAGCTGACCCCAGGACTGCACTGTTCCTCCTCACACTCGCCTCCAGCTTGAAGCTGGCCCAGCTGGGAGCAGGGGAAGCCTCAACCCTAAGGCTCCACTCTTGCAGGTGTATTACTCAGGAGTAGGTGTTTTTACTTCTGAAATGAAACTATGTTATGACTGAAGGACTCGTTATGTGGCAGGGACATGAAAAGTCATAGTATTCAGCTCAGATTTTATCCAAGGGAAGAGCAAGGAGGTATCTTTGCAAAACACGTTTGAAGTGGCAAGAGGGAGGGAGAGATTAAAGCCTCTTTCCCACTCTTCCAACCTAATATTTCACAGAATGGTTCTTGAAAGGATAACACAAAAAATTTTGCTCAAGGAAGGAACTGGCTGACGGGGTATGGGGAAGACGTTTTCCCATACACCCCCTTAGACTATTTGTTTTTGTTTATTTGTTTTATTTATTTGTTTGTTTGTTTGAGACAGGGTCTTAGTATGTAGTTCAGTCTGGTCATGAACTCACTACGTAGTCCAGGCTGGCCTGAAACTCATGGTGATCCTCCTGCCTCAGCCTCTCAAGTACTGGGATTACAGATGTGCACCACCATGCCTGGCAACATTTTGAATTTTTAACCATGAGAATGTATTTTGTATTTTTAATATTTTTTCATTTAAAATGAACAAACTGTGCACCTGCCTATCAAGCACAAGGTCCTGAATTCAATTCCTGGTGCAAAAAAAAAAAACTGTTAAAATGAACAAACTGTAGCAGGCAGCCTCTCCTATGGTCTCCAACAATCTTTCTTCCTGGAATTCTTTCCCTGATGTAGCCCCTCCCCTTGAGGGTAGGCTGGACTTATTTTGTCTTTTCCACTAAATGGAACGTGGAAGATTATGGGAAGTCCCTTCTGTGGCTTCTGGCTTGGCCCTCTGACACTCTTTGGATTGCTCATTCTGGGGAAGACAGCTTCTCCGTGCCCAGGCAACCCTGTGTGATGGCCCACATGATAAACTTGGCTGTGGATCTTCTGAGGCCTGCAGCAGCCACGTACCCTTCAGGTAGGGGCAGATTCTGCAGCCCTGGCCCACAGCTTGATGGTAGCTCAGGAGAGACCCTGATCCAGAGGCTCACAGCTCATCGCTCTTGAATTCTCAAATCACAGAAACTGGGCTAAGTGGGTGATGTTTTCAGCCACTAGGTTTTGGAGTAGTCTGTTTCACAGCAACAGAAAACTAAAATTAATCATATTTAACAAGCACAAATACCATGCTACCCACATGTACTTTTGATTTAGAAGGTGGGCTTCTGAAGTCACTTTCCCACAAGCCATGCTAATTTAGTTGTTTGCTTTCTTTTATTTTTACTATGAAGACCACAGGGGTTTTTTTGCAACATAAAAGTATATTATACCAACAAATTCACTTGTGAATTATTAATTTACTGTCTTAATTTCCTTGCTGAGAGATAGGCAGAGGGGAAACCCCACCAATTTTATGGCAAGCAGTGAACAAGCTTGCTCTTTGTCCTGGGGTGAGAGTGGGTACAGAAGGCTGGGAAAGAGAAGCGATTTCATTCCTTAAGGTTACTAGCTGCATACCAGTCATGAAAAATAGTCCTGAGAAAAGCACAGCCAGAAAGATGGATAGGAATGAAAGAGGCCCAAGGAATATGACTTCCCGAACCACAACACGACACTGATTTGCTTCTAAAACTCCACTGGGCGGGAGGCTGCAGGTAAGCCATTGAGAGTCCCAGGGAAACAGGTATGGTCATGAGTCGACCCTTGTTGAGCTAGATTCAGAGTACACGAGGTTCCCTCCACTTTTCACTTTATTTTTGTATGTAGCTGAAATTTTATACAATAGAAGTTTTACAAAATCTATTTATGAAGGAATTATATCAAATATGTGGGAATACCAATGTTCTTAAAAACCCAGTATATTTTAATGGTCATATTTGCCATTTAAATACAGTGTGAGAAATATTTTGTTCTGTTCACTAACACTGAAAATTTACTTGAATCAAATGCAACTTCTTATTATGGTGAATAAACTGTTATTTCATTACAGATGTCAGAAAGGTTTGTTTTATAGAGAATTGTAGTCACTTTCTTATACTTAACCTGCCTTTCCTCTGGAAGATGAATTCCTCTTTAGATAAAGTAATGCAAGTTCCAAGGTCTTCAGTGTGTCTGACAATAGCTATAGGATGTCACTGTGCAGCTAAAAGAAGCTAAACTATTTAGTAAAGGGAATAGTTCACAGGAACATCATCGGGGGCCATTTTGAAAACATGAAAATCTGAATGCTTTTAAGCTGTGCTCATTTCTTTATAAAATGAAAATTTATAAATGCATAACAGCAGGATACGCTGCAATAGAAAGAAATCCTCTATACATAATTTTCATTAGTCTGATGAGGAGAACCAGCTATTAGTAGATAGTACAGATAGGACCACTATACGTGTAAGACATTTGGTCTTTAGGGCAGCTAGGAATAATCTGACACGGGCTGAGGTTTAGCCCAGTGGTTCCCCGGCCTGCCTCACAAGCACAAGGATCTGTCATAATATGATACTGTCAGTCCTCTCTCCATCCCCGCCGTGTGGTGGGGGCCCTCAGAGGGGGTCCAGGGTTCCTGCTTTCACTCCTGTGTCTGCTTCCAGATGCAGGGCAGATGTCGTGCACACTCCGTGGGGCGTCGCCCCGCCCCTCATTCTTTCATTTCCTCTCTGACGAGAGCCCTGGAGGGAGGGTGAAGCCAAAGGGAGCCAAGTCCAGCCAGAGTCAGAGGGCTGTGCTGTCTGAGGCTCTTCTCTGCCATCCTCTGCCCATGCACACAATCACCGCACAGCCTGTGCCAGCGTCATTTCTGAGGATCCTTTGGGCACTTAGCCTCTTCCCTTTGGTCACGGACAAGATTCTTGTTTTCATTTAGTTTTAGAATTAATTTATTTACATTATCAGTAGAAAGCAGGTTTTAAAAATATTTATTACATTTGGTTTTAGAAATGATAGAAAATAAAAATCGGTATTTAGGTGACACAACTTTGGAAGGCAGATTGATGCTTTCACACCAGAGACGCTCTAGGTAATGCTGATGGACACCCAAGCAGTGGGTGATAAAGGGTACACACTGCTAACAGAGGAGCCCTTGTATAAAGTCTTCTTCCCTGCCATTATTTATTTTAGGGTAAATATCAGTCCAGGGGAAAGAGTTCCAAACATAAAAGGTACCTAGAGTAAACATTAGACCTTAACCAATAAACACAGCTACATGTTTACATGAAGAAAAGAGCCCTTATCAGTGCAGCTGTCCTGCAAGGCATTGATGCTATAAATGCAAAAGCGACTGCAAACTAAACAGCATAGAAATGCTTACCTGGATCGGGTACATGAACTGCATAATAACTATTACTCCTTTTTGGGGGATAGTGGTACTGGGGATTGAACCCCAGGACCTTCACCCTGAGCTACATCCCAGCTCTTTATTTATTTATTTTTTTGAGGCAGGTTTTTATATGTACACACGCTGCAAATTATTTCCTTAACTAATAAAAACTTTTTAAAAATACAAATAATCCTTTATGTAAAGATTTACTATCCATATGGGTGTTCTGCCTTAAGGGCGAGCTTACTTGTCTGCATGTAGACTATGCAAGCACCCCTCACTGGAGCCAGGTTGTGTTCAGCTGTTTCTGTTTCTTGATGCTGGTATCCATTTTTAGTACATCTCTGATGACAGTGATAGCATAAGTAGGAGGAAGTGAAAAATCTATTTTCAGAGCCCCTGTATTTGCCTTCAGAAACAAATACTGGTGGTGGTTTCCCTTCTAGGTTGTCCAGACCAGTGCTGAAAGGTGGAATTGTAGGGTTATCATATGCAACAACTTCCCAGCTGACTTTCTGAGGATAAGGAATGATCTCAAATTGTGTGTCTCGTGTTGTCAATATCAAGGTTGTCCGTGGTCAGGATTTCTCTGTAGGCTTCACTAATTTTATGCTTTCAGTAGATCACATCAAAAGTAGGCAAGGGCATCACCATATCATAAATGGGGAGATTATTAACATCGTCTTCCTCAATATGGGTGGCTGTGGCTCCTCTGAGGATAAGGGCCCCTGGGACAGGCTTCAGCCCGTGGTCTTCTATCCTCTTGCTCATCACGTTATTCCACACACAGCTTTGATAGCTATGGATATACATTAAGTGATTCTTTCTTGATATTATGCCAAATTCAGAGACTACATTCTTTATTTCATATTTTGAAAGTCCTCAAAGCAGCTGCCCCTGCACACACCTTTTAACAACCATTTTTGGTTTGTTTTGTTTTTGTTTTTGATACTGAGGATGGAACTCAGG